TGCGCACGTGTGCATGCACACTCACATATGTGTGTGCACGCTTGTATGTGTGTATGTACGTATGGGTACAAGCACCTGTGTGCTAGAGATCTAACCTGGCACAAATGAACTAGGCATATGTCCTGCTATTGAGCTACCTACATCCTTAGCCCCAGAATTACAACCTTTTTTATTTACTCATTTATTTTTGCAGTACTGCAGCTTGAATCTAAGACTTCACACAGTGGGTTTTCTTTTTATTATTTATCCTTTTTAAAATTTTTTTTTCTTTTTTTATTTTAAAGAGTAAAAGAAGGATAACATAATAATAGGGGGGACTTAGCAAATTACAGACAAAATGGTAGGAAATTATCAATGGTTATTGTTTTACATATTGTTATCTACAAAATAGTTTCTCAGGAAAGCAAATAGACAAATAATAGTGAGTTACAGACAAAAGAGGTAGGAGATTATCAAGAGTTATTGTACTATACGTTGGTATCTTCAAAGTGGCTTCTAAAGAAAATAAATAGAGCTATACATGAGTGACCTATCGAAAAATCATTAACTCTTCTCAATGGTTGTTGTAGGAAACACATAATAATAAACATACTAAAATTTTTTTTTATCTTGAGACAGAGTCCTGCTAAGTTGCATACACTGGGCTCAAACTTGTAATCCTCTTGTCTCAGCCTCTGGAGTAGCTGGGATTACAGATGTGAAATCGTCCCTAGCTCTTTTCATGTTTGTTTTTGGTTTTTCTGTTTGTTTGGTTTTTTTGGGAGGTTGGTTTGGTTTGGCTTGGTTTTGGTTTTGATTTTTTGAGACAGGGTCTCACTATGTATTTCAAGATGGCCTTGAACTCATTACATAACCCAGGCTGGCCTGGAACTCACGACAATCTTCCTGTCTCAGCCTCCTGCATGCTGGTGTTACAAGCCTGCGCCACCAGGCTTGACCCCTAGCTCCTTTCTTGCATTCTGTGTTCACTCCCTTCCTTTCTCCTGGCTTAGTGGTGAAGTTCCTTGCAAAGTTTCTGTTTCCCTGGGCCCGCAGGGACTGAGCGAAGGGGATCCTGGCTCTACACCCAATGATGCTTCTGAAGTAGATGTTTTGAAGGGGCTGGCTCAGAGAGAGCCAGGAAATCCATGAGAGCAAAGCTCAAGGGAAAGCAGAACTCAGGGAACTGTGGAGAAAACTGTAGAGAATGACAGTAACAGTGTTGGACACTGCCACCGAGTTCCAACACTCAGACCCAGCTCTGGAGCTCAGGTGTCGCGCAGGGGACGGTGTATGGCTGATACACAGGAGGCCTGGGTTCAGCCCCTAGCACAGCAAACAACAACAGTAAAGAAGCCCGAGTTCTCTTGCTTATGAAGAGGCCTGGACAAATGGCTCATTCTGGTGCCTCCCCACCCCTCGGGTCCTCCTTACGGCCCCATGGGGGCTGCACAAGCTAAGTCCCAGCAAGGCGTTCACAGAGCCAGGCACAAGATCAGCACTCAGTGGCTGTCCGTCTTCTTCCCCGCCTCTCGGAGTGGTGGCTCTGACCAGTTTCAGTCTCCAAGAGGTCAGCGAGCAGCCACAGTTTTTACAAATTGTGCTTGGCAGGTGCAGTGGCACAGATGTGTAGCCGCAGCACTCAGGAAGTTGAGGCAAGTGGAACACCAGTTTGAGGCCAGCATAGGCAACTGATGAGAGGCTTGTTTCAAAACAAACAAGGGGCTGGGGATTTAGCTCAGTGGCAAAGCGCCTGCCTGGCAAGCGCAAGGTGGTGAGTTCGGTTCCCGGTACCGGAGAAAAAACAAACACAATCACACACCTGTAATACTAGCACTTGGGAGGCTGAGGCAGGAGGGTCACTCAAGACTGGAAACTCAAGATCAGGCTGGGCAACACAGTGGAAGCTTCCCTTTAAAAAAAAAAAAAAGAAAAAGAAGCCAGACACAGAAGTTAGATCTTTTGAGAGGAAGACAGCGCATGAGCTCCCAGGCCCTTGTGTGATAAGGTCTAGCAGAGATGAGATTAGACTAAAACTTTTGGTAAATCCTCTCCATAGCCCTAGTCAGTTAATTCGGCCTTTATTTTTCTCTCGGTATCTTATCTCAATCTCCACTGGACAGCCTGCCATCTACTAAAATGCATCTAAGGGGGAGAGGTAAAAGTGATTAAGGTGTCATATGAACACCTGCCTCTTTCCCAAGGTGACTGCAATCATTCTGCATTGCAGACAGACACTAATAAAAGAGAAACAAACACCAGAAGCATGTGGGTCTGTGTCTCAGGGTAAGGCACTTCCCTGACATGCACGAGGCCTGGGTTTGAGCCCAGCATCACCAAGCACATTTAAAAACAAAGTGTATTTCATTGGCCAGGCTCCCTACCCAGCCAGATCTTCCAAGGCTGGGAACTAAGTGTGAGTCACCCTCCCGGCTCAAACAAACCTTAAACTGAAGCTTTCATTTCATCTACTTTGGGGTCCCCCCACACCGCCAAGCAACTCCTGGACTCAAGAGATTCTCAAGTAGCTGGGACTATAGGCACGTAACATCATACCTGTGTTATTTTATTTGTAAAACAAGAAGACTTTGATGTGCAAGTCATTCATTCCTCTGTGCACCTCTGAGGTCTGATACCGGGGAGCATCCCTGGGAAAGGTTTTGAGTAGCCCAGTGTCCACTTCCCTGGACTTCAGGCTCTGTTGCGCTCAGTGTTCTCATTCATACTTACAAAATGGGAAAGTAGCTCCTACTCCACCCTGCCTGGGTGGTATAGAAGCTGAATATGAGGACCTTGGAACAGGTGTAGGGGTTTTGGTGCAGGGAGTGGGAGTATTTGTTTTGCAGTACTACAGATTAAACCCAGGGTCTGTACCCTGAGCTATATCTGGAGCCTCTTTGGGGTATTTTTTGTTTTGAGATAGGATCTCAATAAGATGCTAAATTGCCCAGGCTGTGTTCAAACTTGTGATCCTTCTGCCTCAGCCTCCCAGAGTGCTGGGATTATAGGCTTGTACCACCCCATGTGGCTTTTTTTTTTTTTTTAGACAAGGTCTTCCTGTGTAGCTCAGGCTGGCCTAGAACTTGCAGTCCTCCTGCCTCAGCCTCCTGAGTGCTGAAATCATTGGAGTGTGCCACCACACCCAGCCTACACAGGAGTACTATACACGTCCGCCCCAGGCACCTCATTCCCACCCTGGAGAACCCTGGCTTCATGATAATGTCAGAGTGGGTGGGATAGTTCAGTTCCTTTCTAGACTCTTCATTCAGCAGAAGAACCTGCCCCCCATGCCCAGGGAGACCTCTCTCCTCCTCTGCTCCCCAGCTCCCTGCCTGTGAGCAGAGGCCTGGATGGGCAGCCCCTCCCACCTGGGCCATGCTGGGCTCCTCTGCCCCTTTCCTGAGGAATGCAGCCCCAGCCAGCTCCCGCTGGGGGAGCCCATTCCCCTTCTCCCTTCCTCCATTTGCAATCTCTATTTATTTATCTTTGGAAGTTCAAGGAACCAGAGCATGCAACTGGGAGACTTGTGGAGCCAGGGAGGGAGGGCGAAGAGGCCAGCGTCTGCGCCAGGCACAGGGCCACCTCCTGTGCAGGCCGCAGAGGTACCGGGAAAGCGGGGACACGCTCATGACAGCAGGCGGCGTCACCTTGGGGTCCCTTGGTGCTGCCGGGGCAGGTGAGGGACAGCAGTCCTGCCTCTGTCCCGGCAGCTGGACTCTCAGCAGCTAAGAAAGGCTGTTTGGTGGAAAGACATCCTGTGTGGGGAGACCAAGGGAGCACTGCGGGTGCCCAGCAGCAGCAGCACTCCCACACCCTCCCGCTGTCAAGGTAGATCCCGTTCACAGGCCATTCCTCCTCCCCATACCGCCATTTACGGACACCCCGCGAAGTCATGGGTTGGCACAAAGTCCAACAGCTAACAAGAGGCAGGGCTGAGCCTAGAAGGACTGTGCAGTGCGATGCCCACACCCCGCGCCTCCTGTGTTCATTCCCACTCCCTGTCCCTACCCCCCACCACACACACACACTCAGGGCCAGATCGAGCAGTGTCTGCCTCGGCTTCTGATCTTTCCTTGGCCGAATGACACGTACCCCAACCGGGCAAGGTCACACTGGCTGGATGAGGTCTGCTGCCTCCTTGTCCCTGGCTTGTACCCTCCTGCGGTGGCCTCATCAGAGCTTGAGGCGAGAGCTGGGTGTGAGAGTAAGAACCAAAGTCCAGGCGGGCCATCGAGTCAGGCAGGGGCCAGTAGAAACCTCCCAGTGAGCGAAGATCGGTCCCCAGGCTGGCGCCCCGGACCTCTCAGCTCCAGCCCACGGGTCAGCGAAAGCCCCAGAGGGCCCGACCAGCGGGCTGGAGGAGCCGGGAGTTGGGAGGCGCTGTGGACAGAGTCGGGGTTGGCTCAGCGATCTGAGACGGGCTGAGGCCCAGGGCGCAAAGAGAGGGTCAAGGGGAGAAGGAGAGTTGGCTCAAGGCGTGCAGGGTGGTGTCCAGCCGGCTCGCCCCTCCCACTGAGGAGGGCAGGGCCTGGCCTGGGCGGGAGGCGCTAGGGCCTAGCGGAGCGGCGCGCCGGTGAGGGGCGGGCGGCGGGAGCGGCCGAGCCGCCTCTACCCATGGCCCGGGGCGGCGG